AAAAAAAAAAGCCTTCAGATTGAAAAGGGCTCACTGAAAACTCCACACAACGAAAAACAGCTGCATTCCAAGACTGAGCATTGTAAAGTTTCAAAATGACGAGGAAAAAGAGATGACTGTAAAAGTTTCCAGCAAGACAAAAAAAGGTAAATCATAGACCAAGTACTAAAAATCAGAGTGACATAAGGCTTTTCAGTTGTACTATTAGGATCCTGAAGACAGTGAAATAGTCCTTAAAAATCCTGAATGAAAACTAATTTCAAAATAGAGTTTTATACCCAGCAAAACAATCATGTGTATGCATACAATAATAATGTTTTCAGGCATACAAATACTTGAAACATATTTTTCATGTAACTTCCCTTATGAAAGCTACCTGGAGATTGTACTTCAACCAAAAAAGGAAATAAATTGAGAAACATGGTAACTTATGACCCAGAAAACAGAGAACTATAAAAGAACACGGGGAAGGCTTAACACAATATAGAGATCAACCAGGCCGTACATAAGATGCCAAGAAGCATATGTCCAGGAAAAATTTTTTAAAAGAGCTTATACTTTATCTAATAGGTGATTTGAAAAGATATTATTGCTGGTTGTTTAACAGATATGTTTGAATATTTGGAGGAAAATGTCAGTTACCTAGAAAAACAAACTATTAAAAACCTAGCAATTTTAGAAATAATAAAATTATACATAAGACAATTAATTTTTTTTTAAGATGGAGTCTTGCTCTGTCACCAGGCTGGAGTGCAGCAGAGTGATCCCAGCTCACCACAACCTCCCGGGTTCAAGCAATTATCCTGTCTCAGCCTCCTGAGCAGCTGGGAATACAAGTGTGTGCCACCACACCCAACTATTTTGTTTGTTTGTTTGTATTTTTAGTAGAGACAGGGTTTCGCCATGTTGGCCAGGATGGTCTTGATCTCTTGACCTCATGATCTGCCTGCCTTGGCCTCCCAAAGTGCAGGGATTACAGACATGAGCCACTGTGCCTGGCCCAAAATTAGTTTAGACAAGATAACGCTTGACTCAGTAGTGAGCAAATTTGTCATAATCATTATAATGTAAGTGAACTAGTAACTAATAATTTGACCAAAATTGTTATATGGGAGCATGAGGTGGGTATGTAGGGTGGGTGGTATGAGACCTAAATTGTCACCCTTCTTCACATAAGAAAGGTCTAATGTTGAAAACTTAACAAATAGCAGTGTAAGTTTGTTTTTGAAAAATACGAAGATAAACATTGGAAGAGCTGATGGTGTGTGCCACTGAAGATTAAGTTTGAAATGCGTGAGGTAGGGCATGGGCACTGCTCTTCCTTGTTACTGGCCATTTAGTACTCTTTGACTTAAATTGGGTGCATTACTTAGATAGGCAAATTTAATCAACAATAAAAATAAAGTTACATATGCCCATGATTAAGAAAAAAACTTCCTACAGTGTGGAGGGATATATATGAACAGTATCAAGTCTCCCCTTTTCCAAATTCGATCCCCAGTACTGTTTTCTTTTAACAGTTTTTTTTTTTGAGACGGAGCTTCGCTCTTGTTACCCAGGCTGGAGTGCAATGGCACGATCTCGGCTCACCGCAACCTCTGCCTCCTGGGTTCAGGCAATTCTCCTGCCTCAGCCTCCTGAGTAGCTGGGATTACAAGCACGCACCACCATGCCCAGCTAATTTTTTGTATTTTTAGTAGAGACGGGGTTTCACCATGTTGGCCAGGATGGTCTCGATCTCTTGACCTCGTGATCCATCCGCCTCGGCCTCCCAAAGTGCTGGGATTACAGGCGTGAGCCACTGCGCCCAGCCCAGTTTTTACGTTTAGTTGTTCTGGTGGTTATATTCATGACTTGAAAGATACCTTTTGATGAGGTGTAAAGCAGTCTGGACCTGCCTTTGCCCGGTTAGCCAAAAGATGGCCATATCAAACTGCACTGTAGACATGCAGGTTAATAGTGTGCTTGGAGAGTAATGTACAACTGGCCTATGGCTGTGGTTGGTCTTTCATCCCCAAGCCACTGTATACAGCCAGGGAAGCAGCCTGACCTAGTTGGGTGAGGCAAAGGGTTATCCTGCCAGTGGGAGCATGGCATTTCTGGCAAGATACTTCTCTTCTAACTGTTGGACTTGCTGCCATGGCAGATTTTCCTGACTCAGGGAGTAAGTGTTGAGCCCTGGTCCAGCTGGTTAGATTATTTGTTGATTTTGATTATCTGCACCAATAAGCTCTTTTGCTGGCATGGATGATCAGAAGCAGGCAGTAATTTTCCATCTTCCTAACAAAAATACATTTCACATTTTGAAATTACAATAGAAGAAGTTTTATTCAGTTTTCACCAAAATACTGCTTTATTGGGGAGGGGGAAATGTTATGATTTAAATTGAGAACTCATTAAGGATAGTCACATATTCTTAGGTGGGCCATTTTTTCTTATCACTTTGCTGTTCTTGAAAGATGGAGGGAAAAATAAATAATAATGATCATTGCCATCTTTTATTCAGCTTTTACTATGCATGAGGCACTCTGCTAAGTATTCCTAGCCTAATTTAATCTTCACAACAGTTTTAAGAGCTTCTTATTCCTCTGATTTTAGAAGGAAGAAACTGTTTAATAGTCCAGTGACTTGTCCAAGGTCACATAAAAGTGTCAGAGCTGTGTCTGGAGCCCTGGTTTGTGTTGGCTGTTGGACCCATGTTCTTTATCTCTGTGTTTGGCCTGTCTTTCAACACAACCCTTGACTTTTTGTTACATGAGCAAAAGAAAGAAGCTAATTTATACTTAAAACCTAATTACCAGTGTAAGGTACATATGTTGTTATTGTTGCTTGGTGCTTATAAAAATTGTATCTTTTCTTTTTAAAAAAGTTGGAAATTTTATACGTTTTCTATTTCTGTCATTCTTTTGTATTCTCTCAATTCAGAATTTTGGAGTCATCTTTGATCTTCCGATTCCCCTCCTTTGATTTCCATAAAATCTCCACGTTCTCTTTATATTCCTGTGTTAAGTCCCTCCACTCCTCATGTCTGGAATCCTGCAGTTATCTTTTCATGGTGTCCCTTCTGTCATTCTTTGCCACCTTAAATTGATTGTACACATTGATCCAGTTTTCTCAAGCTCAACTTCTGTCATATTGCCTACCTGTTTAAACCATTAATGTCGCCCCATTATCTATAAGAAAAATAAAGTGTTATTAATCTATCATTCAAGACCTTTCATAATGTGATCTGAAGTATCATCACTCCAGAGTTTTTGTGCCCTTACTTCTTTCTCACTTTTCTTGTTCATGCTAATATATCCCTCATCTGGCTACGGAGGCATGAATTTTCTCTATAACTCAGTTGGTGTTTTTATATGCTTTGCATTTTGATAGTCTTCTTGTGTATGTATGTCTCATTTGCCCAGGTGAATTATTCACTCCTGAGTGTAGAGATGGGAACTCTGAGTTGATCATATTATTTAGTACAATTTCTTGCATACAGCACTGTGTAAAAAAATTAATGAATACATTTTTGAAGTTTTAAAGTTAACATATAATTCCAATTCTATAGTTCTTTCCTTTTGTCTAAGATTTCATAAATCTTAGACAATAAAAATTTAATGATCTTTATTATTTTTATCTCTTTAATTGTATTGAATTATGAAATTGGAAATATGTTGGTCTAATTTTAATAACACAATATTTAAAGAAGTAAGTCAGCTTAACTTAGTATTCCAATTTGAAAGATAGAGAAAATCGACACTGAATGAAAATGTTATAATTATTACATAGTTTTTTTTAGAAATAAACCAATCTATGAGAACTATAATAAGTGATTATATTGTTGGTTAATGTATGGTGTTGATGGAGATAAACTGAATAGTTATACTGTTATGAATTAAAAAATGTAAATGAATTATTCAATTTATCCTACATGATGTATTAAATGTAGTTGGAGGTTATTCAGAATATTGAATAAGGACATGAGGAAATTTAGAAATTTATTTAAATACTAAATTTAAATCCCTCTACTTAAGCATGATTTTGTTTTCCAAAAGGAGGTTACATTTTTATGTATCAAAAATTTGCTCCTTGCTTTCTGCTGAATTGGAAAATGTTTCTGCCCTTTCTTCTTTTTTTCTTGTTTTAATAACCTAAATATTTTTAAGTGTTCATTTTTTATTTTCTTTGGCTTAATTTTACAGATGTTCTATTAATAAATATTTCTACTTTAGTATATAAATTATTTAAAATTGTAGCCTATATGAGTATTTTTGCTTTGAAATATATTGTATTTCAGTAAGATAAGGATAATTTCATCCTGAAACCAAAAAATAAACCTTCACAAATTTTATATATTCATATTTATTAGTCTTACAGTGTTCTTGTTGACTTTTTAAATTGCAAATTTAATGGAAATATTATTTTAGCTCAGAAATCTCATACATTATCAATGCTTAAATTTCTCATGCTATTTTTTCCTGAATTTTTTTCCAAGTAATGTTGAACATTATAATCATGCCATTTTTTACACCTCACATTTTTCTAAAATATCTCTTAAATTATTTATTTTAATGTTTAATTTGATTTTCAAAACACCCAAATGAAGCCATAATTTGATCTTTTAGAGTAAAAAGTACATATTTGATGTAAATCACTGCATGTGTCTGAATCTCACACAAAAATGTTACATTTTAAAGGTAGTGGCATTTTAAGTAAATATTACTTTTAAAAGAGAATGACTTTTAGAATGGTAGTACAATTATCCACTTTAAATACTCTCATTTAATCATTTCATTTTCAAAATTGGACTTTATTTTGCAATCCAAAAAAAAAAAAAAGACTAATGTGCATTTTTGGATGTGCTAATTCCCTTTGTCATAAAATGGAAGCTAGCCTAAATTTTCTAATAATTTTTTATCACATTGAAATTCATGGCAAAAAATAAAAATGAGCTAATTTTGAATTCAAGTGCATGTATTTTATATGGATGCTTTTTCCTTTTTCCTTTACCTAAGGAAATAGAGAAACTGAGAATAGAACTGAGTGAAAGCAAGCAGCATTTGGAACAGGAGCAGCAGAAGGCAGCCCGGGCCAGAGAGGAGTGCCTGAAACTAACAGAACTGCTGGGCGAATCCGAGCACCAACTGCACCTCACCAGGTACTCCCTAATCCCATTATGCGCCATAGCACCGACTTCATTCCACTGATTTTTGCCACAGGCTTCCAAACAGTTGTTAGAGTTAGTCTTAGTCATTCAGTTCACACATAGCTTTCAGGCATATTAAGAAAAGTGGAGATGTGGTAAGCAAAACACCCAGACATGTGAATGATAAGTGTGGCAGGGAATTACTGATATATTACAAAACCTTTCATCTACAATGCTCAAATATTTAGGTGATTCTCTATCAATATAAGCAAAATGACATATTTCTCCTACCACCACTACTACCTCTTCTGCTAATTCTACGTCTAATAAAAATCTTGAACTGAAGGAGCTGAGGAATTTATTTAGGAAAATAATAAAATACTGTCAGTGGTGAAAGAGACAAAGTAAATAAATTGTAAGATGCAAATTGAAATGGAACTGATACAAAATAAGGAATCTGCATCCTAAGGAGGTGTAAAATTTCAAGATGAAATAGATTGGCACTGCTCGTGTTCGAATTATTATTACACAGGCTTTCACCATTGAGGCTTCAGCTTACTTCGCTTCCATCATGAGATTTTGTGATGTGATCATCATTGTCATCAACTTTAGTAAACATGTAGCTCAGCCCTAAATTACAGTAAGACTCTTAGGTTGTAAGCATTGTGAATTTGCTGTATTGGAAAAGTACACACTCATAAATACAGACATTGAGAGAAAAATTCAAATAGAGACAGTAGATATTTCACTTTATCATATGTGGTTTCTTTTCACTTTGAGTTTTATTACAATTTTTCAATGTTCACATCAAGCCTTTGGTGTTGCTCAGTTCTTAGAGTTTTTCAGTTTTTAGAGAGAACTTTGTTTAAATAAAATGTAAGTTTATGATGTTTGGTTTGGTTTATAAATTAGAAAAACACTGGTCTTCCAATCATTGTAATATGTTGAATTTAAACTATGAAAGGGGACTGATCCCTTTTACATTAAACATGACAATGTAATTCTGAGCACGGTATGCTAACAGATGGAGAAAAGCACCACTTGAACAGCCTGCATTTGGAGAAAAAAATATTCTAGAGGTTGGTGAACCTCCCAAAGTTTTGGGTTAGTGTTAAGATGCCTCTGGTTCTGTTAAAATCAAACCTTGTTTAAAACATTTTGTTATGATAATATTCCAAATGATTTGACATCTTCCCTTTTAAACAATAAAAGAAAGAGGAAAGAAAGAGAGGGAAAGCAACGAAAGAAAATAAATTATTTATACATGTATGGTATCTAGAAAAAAAATCCTAATAGATGAAACACATTTATGAGAAAAAAATTGCTTAATATTGCAGAATAATAACTGTCCTTTTAATGCTTATTTAAAGTATTGTCATTGTAGAACTGAGAATGTACTGTTAGCGTAATGCCTGTGGTTATTTAATCTTAGAAGTTTCAGAATTTAGCTTCATCATGGTAATGTTAATAGTTTTTCTTTTCTGTCAGACTTCTATTCAGAACCAACCATTTGTGTGCTAAACGCTGCTAAACCTCAGAAATAGGACAGCTTTTAATGTCTCAGCGTGGCTGAGCTTCAGTAAATAAATATTAATGCTGGTTTTGCCCCTTTTGCCATTCTGTCTTATTCAGAGTTAATTTCTGAAGTCAAAGTCCATAGAGAGTTTCCCTGTGTAATATCAATTTGTACTGTTTGACAAGATCAATTTCTTGCAAGTAGAGCATATTAAGATGCAGCAACTGCTGAAAATGAACGAGTGGTAACTAATTCCTTTGTTCTTAAGAAAAACGGTTTTGCTTGGTTCTGTAGAAAGCTTTTTTTGTTGAGCTTTATTTAAACCAATTCTACAAAAATTTAAACGTAGTTTTACAGGAAATAAAAATTATTTTCTAAGTGCAGTACTCTTTTGTAAGCATTTTATGCTTAGTCTATGTTCATGTTTTATAAAATCCACATTCATAAATTTAAAGATGACAATTAGAATGCAAGGAAATATGTATATCTCTCCTTTGCACCGACAGTGTGACTTGGTTGTTGGACTGTTTCTTATATACAGTACTCTTTTGTGTGTGTGTGTGTGTGTGTGTGTGTGTGTGTGTGTTTAAGTTTGCTACCCCTCGTCAGGCTTTATTGATTCAGTATACTCAGGTGTGTGACTGAGAAATGTTGTGTCGTTCCTTTTCAGTGTAGATCAGCTGAAATACATAACTCCTACACAGATAACACCTTACCACACAGTCTCAACTTAAATACTTCAAATGGCATATTCCAAACAAAGTTGAAAATTGAATATGAAAACCATGTTTAAAGTAATGACAAAATAAGCATCCAAATCTTAAGGGCAAAGAAAATTTTAAAACTGTAGTAGAAATCTGTAGATCAATCTAAAAGAAACAAACAACCTACCACTTTTCTGATGTTTCTCCTTATTGGATTTTAAAATGGTAAATAGAGGCCAGGTGCAGTGCTCACACCTCTAATTCCAACACTTTGGGAGGCCAAGACAGGGGGCTCACTTGAGGCTAGGAGTTCGAGATCAGCCTGAGCAACTTAGTGAGACACCATCTCTACAAAAAATAAAAATATTAGGCAGGCACAGTGGTGCACCTATAGACGCAGCCACTTAGGAGGCTGAGGCTGGAGGATCACTTGAGCCCTGAAGTTCAAGGCTGCTGTGAGCTGTGATTTCACCACTATGCTCCAACTTCGGTGAGAGAGTGAGACCTTGCCTCAAAAAAAAAAAAAAAGGAAGTTAGAAATTTAGTATTAATTAAAGGACCCAAATTGGTGAGTTTAACATTCACTTAGTCAACAGATACTTACTGAGCACCTACAATTTTTTAAGTACTTTGCTTGGTCCTCGGCATGGAGAGAAAAAATAAAACCCAGTCTCTACCCTTAGATTACTCACACTCTAGTAAAGAAGCCACATCTCTATAGGCAAATATAATAGTGTGACAAAGTGCAATGATAGAAGTGAAGATTATCACAGGAGCACACAGGAAGGAAGACTGACCCATTCTGCACCAGAGGTGGAGGTGATAGTCAAGGAAAGCTGATATCAGGGAAAGCTGGCAGTGAAAAGGGATTCTGAGGGAGGTGGGGATATTTGGCAACAATCTTGATTAATGAAACCATGAGGAAGAATTCTGAAAGTGGAAAAAAATGGGATGGGTACCCCAGGTAGAGAGACCAATATATGCAGAGACATAAAGACGGGAGAAAACATAAACTTGACTCTCAGATGAGGTGTTTGGTAGGGGATAAGACTGGAAAGGGGAGCAGAGCCCGGAGGAAGAGCCTTACGGGCCACACTCTGGAGTTCTGCCCATTCCAACTTACTCTTGATGCATTTTAAGCAGAGGTGTCAACATCATTGACTTTCTGGGTTGAGAGCTTGACTCAGACAGCAGTGTGGAAAGTGAACTTTGGGTGTTGATATAGGAGACAGGAAGACCAGTTAGGCCAAGGTCAGCAATTGCAACCCATGGGCCAACTCTGACCCATCATCTGTTTTTGCTTGATGAGTCAGACTTGAATGGTTTTTATATTTTTAAGTGATTAGAAAAAAGGGAAAACAATATTTTTTGACACATAAAAATGATACATTCATAAACTTTTATGGGACAGTGACACCATTATCCTTCATATATTGTGTATGGCATAACAAAGAATGGTTTTTATATTTTTAAGTGATTGGAAAAAAGGGAAAACAATGTTTTTTGACTCATAAAGATTATACATCCATAAATAAAGTTTTATTGGCCAATGCCACCATTATCCTTTACATATTATGTATGGCGCTACCATTACCACACTGGTGTTGAATGTGGTCCTTAAAGCATAGCGTATCTACTATCTGTCCCCTTATGGAAAAAGTTCTCCTACGCCTCAGTTAGGAGGCTGTTTAGTTCAAGTAAGAAGTCAAGAGGGCTTGAACAACGACAGATTCAAATATGTATTTTAAGAAGGTAATTGAAGAGCTTTGTGAAAAATGGATGGTTTGAGGAAGAGATGACTATGAGGGACCCCAATTAGAATACAAGCACCATAGTCAAGGGGGAGAGTAATGAAGCCCTGGGCTATGTCTGTCCCAGTGCAGTGAAAGGAAGTAGCATCTTCAGGAGGCATTTGGAGTCATGAATAAGAGAGGACAGAATTAAAAGTGACTAAGTTTTCTAGCCCAAGTTGACTGGAGGATCTGTTAAGCCAACTGAGAAACTTAAAAGAGATAGCAGAGAAAAATTTTATTGCAACCTCAGTGGAGATTCCAATGTTGGTTTGGTATGAGGAGAAAGGTCATCACTAGAGGCTTAGAGCTGGATCCTTTTACATAAAGGTATTCATTGTAGCTAGGGAGTGTGTAAAAGCACATAGAAAGGACCATGTTTTTAAAGTACAGTGGAAGAATTACCACCAGCCAATGTGACTGAAATTGGGTCTTTGGATATATAAGAAAAGAATAAAGAAGAATGGTTCAGAGTATTTGGTGGGGTGACAATTAAAGCCATATGCTTTTCTTAGGGGAGGTCCTCAGACAGCCCAGGACTGGAGAAACCGGAGCTACAGTATCTTCTCTAGGCATTCACTCCAGGCATTCTTTCCAGCTTTTGACAAATTACTGACCTCTTTGGGCCTGCTTACGTACATATACAATGAGGTAAGACTAGGCTGGGTGCGATGGCTCTCGCCTGTAGTGCCAGCACTTTGGGAGGCCAAGGTGGGCGGATCATGAGGTCAGGAGATTGAGACCATCCTGGCCATGGTGAAACCCTGTCTCTACTAAAATACAAAAAATTAGCTGGGCATGGTGGCACCTGCCTGTCATCCCAACGACTCAGGAGGCTGAGGCAGGGGAATTGCTGGAACCTGCAAGACGGAGGTTGTAGTGAGCCAAGATCGCACCACTGCACTCCAGCCTGGCGACAGAGCAAGACTCCGCCTCAAAAAAAAAAAACAAAACATGAGGTGAGAGTAGATGATTTATAAGTTTCCTTCTAGTTCTGATAAT